ATTTTGAATTGTAATTAATCATTGGTTTCGTATGGTAATTAACACACTTGTTTGTGCTTCTTGTTTGTCTGTTTTTTCCGAGAACTTCTGTCTGTCTCATTTGGCCAAAATCGTCTGCCACAAGTCCTCAATCGAGCGCCATCAGCACGGACCATCTGCGTCTCCCCCGTTTCACCCACAGGGGGCAGCAAAGACTGCAGCATCGGCTGCAGCAGCTAACAGGAACTCTCGAAGAAGACCTCTCCGGCCTCCATTTCATGGAGAAGAACCAGACTTTTGCACAAACCGAGTGGAGTTATGTGCACGGAGTAGAACGTTGTATAAACCTAACAAGAAGAAGAAAGACATTATGAGGAAAAGATTGAAAAGAAGAAGAAAGACATGAGAAAAAGTTGTCGGAAGAAGAAAGAAAGTGATTGATTGAAAGAAGAAGAAAAAAGACATTGAGACAAAGACATTGGACACTTTGAGACAAAAGACACTGAAAGACACCATAAGAGGAAGACGTGGCCAGGCTAAATGAGACAGACAGAAGGTAAATATATACGGACAAACAAGCGCACAGAGACATGTGGAATTTAAGTCATATTTACACATTTAGCTAGGTCATTCGTTCATAACACCACATTTAGCTGCATGAAAGAATACAGGACAATCGTTAAAATTAATTAGACTCTTGCTTTAGCATGAGACACAAGGAGATTAGAACAGCAGTATATTTAAGGTAGAGGAGCCCTATTATTGAAACTAGTATTATTATTTAAAGTTATAGACGCGGAGAAGTTTAGAATTATTGATTTTAACTGCATGATCTTGGTAATACGGATATTTAAAGCAGTGTTTTCAACCTCTGAACCGTGGCTCGTTAATTATTTAAAAATAGTCACATGCACAGTTGAAACTGGTGCTAGGAAGAGAACTGCAGCTTTTAATGGACGTTGCATTTAGTACAAAATGGTTTGTTCAGACAATTAGAGTTTGAAAAATGATTTAAAGCATTTCTGAATTTTGGCTAAAGGTGATATTGGATCATTTCTGATAACACATAGACGCAACACTGTTCATTGGTTGAAAACAAAGATGTAGGGACATTTTTTGAAATCTTTTATGACATGTTTCTCTTCCAAATAGCTAAATTAGAAACAATTAGGACAATTATGTCTTTGATATAACTGTTGGCCGTTTATCTGAGACATGATTGGTGCAAGTACACACACATAAAACAATGGTCTTTTCTCCACATGAACGTAAAACAAGGGTGAAGTATTAAAGTTTGAAACTAATTTACATTTTTTAAGGAATCCGAACTGGCTTTAAAAAAAAAAAAGGAAAAACATTTATTGCACGTGCATGAGTTTTTTTTTAAGTGACAAGAGCTCATTAAAAATATAGGGGACACAGTTTGTGACAAGCCCGAGTAAAGACCACGTGGTTTAAACACTAAAGTTTGAAATGGATCCTTTTAGGAAAAATCTCTCAAAGCTTTGCATGTTCTGCAGGCTCTGAAAGTTGCAACGATAAAATAACTCATGAGACAATTGTAATTGGACATGGAAAAATATAACAAAGTTAAAATTACAGGCCTCTTGTGTATGTTATATGTTTGTGTATGTTATATGTTTGTGTATGTTATATGTTTGTGTGTGTTATATGTTTGTGTATGTTATATGTTTGTGTATGTTATATGTTTGTGTATGTTATATGTTTGTGCGTCATGTCAAATACACTACGTTGACCTTAACAAACTGGACCAATACTAACGTGGGGTGTTGTGAGTGTGTTGTGAGTGTGTTGTGGAGTGAACTGAGGAGTGAAATGAGGAATGCTGAACGGAGAATGGAATAACAAAAGTTTTCTGTAATGTTTTAATGTGATCATGGAATAATTATTTTTTGTCAACAGCATACGGTGTAAGTACTAGAGATTCAAAGATAACAAGCTTTATTGAACAGGTGTAAAAGTGAGAGTACTCTGGGATGAGTACTCTGAGAAAAGTACTCTGAGAAAGTACTCTGAGATGAAATACCTCGCTGAAGGTACTGGGAGTCCCTCCCTCTGCTGTTTGTCCTGACAGTGATTCGGTCCAACCGCAGTGAGCTGTCGTTGGGCGGAGGACACCTTTGGTTTGTAATTCACATTTAGGGGAGTATAAAATTAGAAACATACATATTGTTAAGTCTGTATTTGGCTACAGCCTCTGCCCTGATGCCACACACCGTCTGTCAATGTAGTTATGTTTTGCCCAATTGGATTGATTGACAGGCTGCACAATGCGAAGAGAGGAAAGTGGGCGTTTCTTGTGTTCTAATGTTTGTTTTTCAGATGAAAGATAAACTGCACCTGCTTCAGGGATACCACGGTAGTATGGATCATGAGGAAAATGAGCCTCTACTTTGGCACCAAAGCCCACAATATGAATTGAGGACGATCCGGGAGGAACAACTGAAGATGATTGGAACAGTAATCTACACACATACAGATGCATGTTTTATACTTTGGACCACGACCAACAGAGGGAGTATAGTAATGTTATTGTCATAGGTGGTCATGGTCCTTAACCTTCTAAATCATTAGAAAGAAGTGTAAAACATATATTTACAAGACCAAATACATAATAGAAAAGGGCAGCCTAAAAAAAAGCAAAATGGGAAAATTATTAAGTAATTTTCGGAGTTGCCAAAATGGAATAAAATTCTATATTTGTCCCATAGGGGGTCATTCTAAATTTAGTGTTGTGCAAATTCAAAAGGAGAAATAATAGCGCTTATAACATCAAACAGATCTACTCTTTAAGATAATAATAGAATAGAATGAAATAGTCTGGAGCTATAATGTCATTGGATTCGAGGAGCTATAGGTTGAAAAGTCGCTAAGAAGAGGTGTCAGAATAAACAATAGTAATAATAGTTAGACTAGTGAATAATCAAAATAGTTCTATTGTGGAAATAAGTATCAATAAGGTCAAATTGTTCTAATAACTAAAGTAAAAAGGAATCAAATGGAGTCAGATTTTAGATGTTTCTGTTTTCCACATCTGTAGGAATTAGTGCAGATGTGTTTATAGAGAGTAGTATTAAAATGCAGACATAGAACGACAGGCGTTAACACAATTTTAAATCTAAAATAGCTCAAATATAACATTGCTCTTGACGCAGCCTCTGAGCTGCTCCATTGGAGAACAGGTTAAATGTTATTGTTTATTACAAACAGCTGATGTATTCACACATATTAAGTTTGGGACAACTCTTTAAACAGTTATAAGCAGCGGACAGAAGCCATGAATGTGCTTTTGTTTATTAAATAATTAATTTCATAGCCTTATAATCGTGGAAAACGTTTTAAAATAGTTAAAATCCCTTTCAGGCAACTTGATTTAGATGTATGTCTTTAATATTGGAGAACGACTGTGTTGTTTTTGGAATTGTCTGAAATACAATACATAGAATAGTGATTTGCAGAACAAGAACCAGCCAATAAAAAATCGTCTATTGCCAATGCTATTGTTACAATCAGAACTCACAAATTGGGAATAGGCTTTGGCTCAAACTACTACCAAGATTTGGAGTCACAATAGAGTATAAAATAGATAGATGCTTTCAAAAATAGAGATTATTTTTAGACAGGGCTAATATCAAGCGGTAAAAGGACCATTTCCTTCATATTATGTCCAAAAGTATTTACTTTAAAGGTAGATGAAGTTCATTACAGTTTATGCACAGGTTTATTAGATACTGTCAAATTCGCTTGTTTCAAACATAGGTGAATGTTAACAATGCCAAAAGTTAATGAGATAGATTAGAAACAACAGAGATTCAAAAACATTTAAAAGCATTTTAATGTATTTGGGTATAGCACAAAAGTAGATATTTAGGTATTTTTTGAGAATTTTAAGAGCTGTCAATTTGTCAGCAACAGATTAGAGAATCAAAATACCGTTGTATAGGGACTAACCCCAGAGAAACCTGCTAAAATAGATTAGCTCCTGTACGGATAATACCAATTTGATTAACAATGTACATTTATCCCAAACGGTCTGAGAGAAGGAAGTGACAGCACTTCCTGGTTCAACAAAATGTGTTTGGAAAAATGAGCAAAGCCCCACAAAATGGCACAGAGCCACTGAGAATGACAGCAGTGGTCATCAAAGAGTTTTGTAAGGAATGTTTCGAATGTTGTTGTGTGTGTATTCTTTCTGTATTAACTCTTCACAGATAACGAGCCAGAACCAAGAACCAAGGCGATGATGGACGAGCTCCCCAGTCTCGGCACCCAGAAGGAATATTGAAAGATTGTGACCTAAATTGGTTTAATATAGGTCAACAGAGGGGAACTGTTGTATATTTTAATATTTGACCATTTGAACATCATAGCCAGAAAGACCTCTGTGCACTCAGGAAAAACCCCAAGGACACAGGATAATCAGACATGAGTCATAAAGATAAAATGCTGTTTAAACAGGGCGAATTATTAACTTTAAATAATAAACATTTTGACGAGGACAAGAGTTCAGAACCTGAATCTTGAGGCAGACTGGGAGATTCACCAACTGCATTCTGACGCCTCCCAGTGGACAAGGGACGTCAGCACACCCGGAAACTCCACCCCTTGGACGCATAAGGATGACGTCATCGGAAGTCTCCCTCATGAGCCCCTGTGTGTTTTTTTTGAGGTCAGACAGGACAGGGCACGGACAGGGGAAGAGCAGGCCTAGAATAGGAGCACTTTTGTTGAACATTCTGTATCTGATTGTAAAGATAATTAAATGCAGATGTTAAACGTGAAGATCTCTTGTCTCGCTCTTGCATCGACTTTGGATACGTCAGTCAAAGGGAATTATTGACTTCAATGTAGATGAGACCAAAAGGTGTCGTAGTGGTTTGTAATCTATTTTTTTAAAATCAAACTCCAGTCTGAATGCTTTCTAATGTACTCATAGTGTTCATGCACTGGCACTTGTTGGTCAGAAAAATCACAATTTTCTATTTTGCCTTCTGCATAGCTCAACAGAAACTTGACCTACCTTCAAATGCCCTCACTCTTTCAAGTTCTGAAAATAGAAAACCAAATGACACACACATTAGTACAAACATCTAGTCTAGACTTTGTGGACTGAACAGTGGGTCTAGTCCTGGTTTAGTCCAGACCAAAGATTGGTGTCCACGTTTGTCTTCAATCACACGCATCAGGAACATCTGGCACAACCCCAAATTCTCTTCTTTACAACTGTGAGCTGTCATGACGATGCAATTACTCACTTCAACCACGAGATGGAAATGTTTGCTCATCACTAATTGATTATTTCTTTTACAAACATGAAAGCAGACAAGTTCAAAATAGATGCATACTAATATATATTAGTAAAATTCAAATATATAAATACACAGTAGATATTTAACAGAGCAGATTATGGGTGTTAGATGATGTTTAAAAGCTACTCAGGAGTGTAGTGTAGGTGCACACAGTGCGCACCATAGAACCACAGCGCCATCTTGGATCCTACAAAGATTTTTCTACACATACCGAGCGCAGAGATCTTTCCCAGTTCTTCTTGAATTTGCTCCACCATGGAGGAAATGGTGGTTTGAATGGGGCCAAAGGAAAACGTGGTGTTTATATTATGTTGGGTGTCTCTTGTCCTGATCTTTGGAAGAGGAACAATCTGGAAAAAAGAAGGATTTTTACATTTAGATTTTTTAGAAATGACCCAGCAGTTACTGTCTCACATCTAAATCTGTGGCAGTCTCCGTTTCTTTGATGGCCTTTTCAAGTTTCAGAATGTCTTCCTGGATTTTTTGAATCAAACTTTGTGATTCTCTCTTGAGTTTTTCTCTCCTGTAAAAGAAAAAAAAAAACAGTATGTATAGCATTAAGACCCTACTTTACAATTCTTTCTAGGGCAAATATTAAGGACAGAAGAATATTGACAAACTCATAGATCAACATCAACAAGGAAATACACATAACAATGGTATTCAAAGTTATTCGTCAAAGTCTCACATAAGTAGACTTCAGATTGCTACAAACTGGTGTTTTTGTCCATTTTTGACAATAGCTCCGTGTTCCCTGACCTTTACGAGCTGTGACACACATTTCTCAAATAAAACACATTTATTAACATCACATAATCATTATCATCTGTTTATTAAAGAGAAAATCAAACCAGCACTAATCTTCACACATTATTTCATTTACACAATTTCTGACCAATGAGGTGATATCAGATCATCAAACAACATGTCACTAACTCGCCACAGCACAATGTTTGAAAAACCTTGTTCTAGCTGATTCATGTGGTCAAAGTCCTTCAGTCTGACAGACCTGTTTTCCAGAGGCTGCAGGGCTCTTTGTCGCGCCTCCTCCACGATGTGAATTACGCCTGAAAACACGCTGTCAATTTCTAGCCACTCTGCGTCCAAACTGCCCTGAAGAGTTTGAAACACACACAGCCAAGTATCGGATCAGTGTGGCCCATCAAAGCATCTCGAGAAGACATACGGATAAACATGTATAGGTCTAATGGATAAATGAAAGATTTAAAAGGGTGCAACACGTTCGTCTAAAAGTAAGAGAGTACAGTCTGAGGGCTTGTGTAATGTGAACATGCATTGTTGTAAAGAATGTCATTTGACTGGAGAAATTCACAAAACTAGTTTGAAGGCCTTGCAGTACTCTTGATTTATATATTTTAGTTCAAAAATGTCCGTGACGTAGTTTGGAAATCTGTCCTCTGATATGAAAACAGAGCTTTTAGATGGAAGGGGTCCAAATTGTGGCAGAAGTTTCTGATATTTCCTTAAAATACATTAATGTCAATGTTTCCATGAGTATTGAGGGGTCTCTGGGAGTTCGAGGATGAGAAGCACTGGTCTAAACGTTGCTCTTGCTGCTGTGATAACTGATGGGCTCCTGTGGAGAAGTCCAGAGCCTGTCGGGTTTTGGACGAAGGAAAAACTTTTGGATATGGAACAATGTAATGTGGTGAAAAGCTCATAACCAATATTTTGCTATTTGTATGTGATTTAAACCTTTTTAAAGTGACCAATTACAGATGAACAAAATATGTTAAGTGCAATGCAGCCAAAATAGAATCAATTTATATGACACTCACCTTGCATTCCTTGACACTCGCTCGGATCTCGCACAGCTTTTGTTCTCGCGATCGAATCTTTTGCTGCAGTTCTGCTTTTATCTGGTCCCGTTGTAGCTTGAAGATTATGAAAATAAATCCATTCCAACTGGGATCAAATATACTTTCCATGTATAAAAAAAATCATTTGTATTGAAAAAATACCTGGTTTAGTTTTTCAGCCTCTCTTTCCCTCTGGTCGTCCACTAGAGGGAGCTGTGTTCGGGCTGTGGTCGTTGGAACTGTTAGTGAAGTTTTAGCCTGGATTGAAAGAAAACATCCAGCTTTTTAGTGCTGCTGACCCGTTTAACGTCAGACAATGAATGCACCGACCGGCACCCCTTGCAAACCAAACACCCTAACACCCGAGAAACATTCAGCCGGCGTTTAAACAACAGGCGGCACATGGCAGAAGCATGACGCACAAGTGCACAATGCGTAACTTTCTTCACAGTGACACTGTTGAGAATGTGGCCGAAAGTGTAGCATGAGCGTTCAACTACTATGCCCAAAAGTTTCAACAGACTTTGGGGGCAACTTGTCAATATTGATAGATTTTAACAAAATGATTCGTTGGCAGCTGTAAAATCTAACTTCAGAATTGGACGATCTACATTCATCGGTTGATTCATCGGTTGATCTCTATAGACCATTATAGAGCGGTATTATTCTCTATAGTTTCTAATGTTTGAATAAGCCCTAAAGAGGAATAACAATGTAAGAACTATAAGGGAATCAAATGTTGATGTTATCCCAGATTTCACAACCCAATAGGACTTTCCTGAGTATTTGTGTTTCCATGTGTATTGATGGGTCTTTGGTAGAATGAGGCTGAGAAGCACTGGTCTAAAGTTTGCTCTTGCGGCTGTGATACCTGATGGGCTCCTGTGGAGAAGTCCAGAGTTCGTCTGGTTTTGTTTCCTTCGGCTGTAGACGGATGAGAGTTTGGTGGAGGAGTCTCAAAATCTGTGGACAAAAGAACAGTGGACTCATCAATAACCATCCCACGTAAACAAGACACGGACTGAGTTAAATTAAAACATCAGGTTGCCTAGTCTTTACACACTGACAAACACAGACTGGCGTGTCTTTGAAACGTCATGGATACAAACAACACTAGTATGAGAAACTGCTTTAGACTGTAGAAAGGAGTGGACATAGCCAGCGGCCCTGTGCTGAGTAGGAAGTGCGCATCAGCATTTTTAAAATTTGAATACGTTTATCTCAGTCTTGCTGCAGTCACACAGTCCATTCAGCTCTTTCAAAGCTTGGATTGAAGCCCTCGGCATAGACCACTTTCACAACTATAAAAGCACTCGCTGAGGATCAACTCAACCCAAATGTGTTCCTTTTTCTTTGTTCAAAGGTTTTCTGTTAGTTCCGAGTGGCGAGGAGAGGACAAATTTCCCTTTGGAATACCTTAACAATAAAAAACTCAATCTCACACCCACACAAGACCAGCACCTCCAAGGTCCATTCTAAAACTGTTATTTTTCCCTCCAGAGATATGTCAAGCCCCAACATTATTCTTCCAAAGTTTTTAATAATTGCATTGTAAGGAAGAGACATGTAAGACTCCATGACTCCTTAGGCTTTTGAGAATATGTGGATACTAATGTGTCAAATGTATATGGATTTCAACATGTACTTATTTTGCCAGTTGAAACGCTGGTATCATAATGAACAGTTCTAGTCTATGTGCCTACATGGGTTTGGTTCCTGGGGAGGTGCAGCTTGCAGAGTTGCTGGTCCTGTCTGTAGATCGCTTTGGCCAGACTGCAAAAATAAAAAATATTAACTTGAAAAAATCTATTGAAGAACTTATTTTGGACATAGACATTGAAATTACCTGAGGCGCACCAGTGGAAGCGGTAGTGGAGGGAGTCATTGTAGACACTAAAATAAAAACTTGGAAAATTGGTATGTTTGATTCACTCAAGTTTATAGAAGAAATTTATCACATGCAACCAAGACAATACTGTACCTTGTTCAGTTTTTCTGGGACCTTGCTGTGAGGACAGAGTCTGGGATGATGTCTGTAAGTTAAAAAAAATTGTATGCTTTGTCATGTTTTTTTCTTTCGTTTTATTTTGCTTTCATTTTACCTTTTGAAATTGAGCAAAGCCAGGCTGTGTTTGGAAATACTCAATCTGCTGCTGCTGCACACCTCCTGTATCTGCACCCAAACATGAAAATATAGTTGAACTGTGGATAAGTTTCAAGTAATCTGAAGATCAATCATGAAAAAGCTGCTTGGGTCCTTCATATTTGCTCTTAAACTAAATTAATTTAATATCAATCAATCAATCAATCAATCTTTATTTATAGGGCGCTTTTCCTGCACAGGGCAACACAAAGCGCCTCACAGTCCACACCACACAATGCACAAATCATCACCATTAAAATACAATTAAAAACACATATGTAATTAAAAAGCATTAAAATCACATAAGTAATTTAAAAACATAAGAATCACACAAGTAATTAAAAACAATAAAATAGTTAAAAACACAAAAAGTTACAACAATAAATAACAAGGTGTGTTAAAACGATAAAATTCTCTAGTTGTATGCACAGGAAAAAAGAAAAGTCTTTAACATGGATTTGAACATTGACAGAGAGGCAGCCAGTCTCACATCCTCAGGAAGACTGTTCCAGACTTTAGCTGCATAAATCTGAAAAGCAGCCTCCCCCTGTCTAGTCCTGACTCTGGGCACTAACAGGAGTCCCGTCCCTGCGCTCCTCAGAGTCCGGGCTGGTTCATATGGGACTAGCATATCATGGATGTACTTTGGTGCAAGGCCATGGAGAGACTTGTACACCAGGAGAGCTGCTTTAAAGTCTATCCTCTGGGCCACGGGAAGCCAGTGCAGAGACCTGAGGACCGGACTAATGTGGTCGTACTTCCTGGTTCTAGTCAGGACTCGGGCTGCAGCATTTTGAATATACTGCAGCTGTTTTACTGCATGTTTGGAGATACCTGTGAGCAGGCCATTGCAGTAATCCAGCCTACTGGAAACAAAAGAATGGATAAGAATCTCCAAGTCTGCCCTGGACACAATATTTTTAATTTTGGCAATATTTTTCAGATGATAAAAAGCTGCTGATGTTACCGATCCAATGTGGCTATTGAAGTTTAAGTCAGAGTCCATTATTACTCCCAGATTTCTGACCTTATTTAAAGGCCTTAGGGAGAGAGACTGAAGGTGACAAATGACGGTCTCTCTTTGTTTCTCGGGACCAAAGACAATCATTTCGGTTTTGTCCGCATTTAGCTGGAGAAAATTGCATTGCATCCACTCACTGATCCGCTGGATACAGCGAAGGAGTGAGTCCACCGGTCCATGTTCTCCTGCAGTCAGTGAGACATAGATCTGAGTGTCATCAGCGTAATTGTGGTAGGACACTTTCATACTTTGAATTAACTGACCTAATGGCAGCATGTAAATATTGAACAGGAGAGGTCCCAGAATCGACCCCTGTAGCACTCCGCAGGTCAGGGCCATATTATCTGAGACATAGTCTCCAATCTCCACACAATACTTCCTTTCTTCTAGATAGGACCTAAACCAGCTTAGGGCGGTACCAGCAACACCAACCCAGTCCTCCAGTCTCTGCATGAGAATCTCATGGTCAACGGTGTCGAAAGCGGCACTCAGATCTAACATGACTAAAACAGAGACTTTTCCTGCATCAGTGTTAAGCCGAATATCATTTGTTACCTTGACTAGAGCGGTCTCAGTACTGTGGTGTGGTCTAAAGCCAGACTGAAACATGTCAAATGAGTCATTAGATATTAAAAATTCAGTAAGTTGTTGGTAGGCAACTTTTTCAAGAATTTTTCCCATGAAAGGCAGATTTGAGATGGGACGGTAATTTTCAAGTACCGCAGCATCCAAACTGCTCTTTTTTAGGAGGGGCCTGATGACTGCCTTTTTCAGGGCCATTGGATATGTTCCAGATAAAAAAGACATGTTTACTATTTGTGTCAATGAGGGTAATAGACTACACATAACAGACTTCAGGAATCTAGGAGGTAGTACATCCAGACTGCAGGTAGAGGAACTAAGACCTGTGATTATCTTTTTAACAGTTTCATCATTGACAGGTGCAAATTGAGCTAGCTCACAAAGCCTCACTGGATGTTGCATTGTTACTTGTGTTGTAGAGGTGATGGTATTTCTGATACCCTGAACCTTGTCTCTGAAGAACTGTGCAAACTCATTACACCTGGATTTGGAGTAGTGTTCTAATGGCAACTCAACAGGGGGGTTCGTTAATCTATTGATTGTTGAAAATAGAACACGCAGATTGTTGCTGCAGCCTTCAATAGTTTCAGAAAAGTATAATTCTCTTGTTCTACGTAGTACTCTGTTAAACTCACACAACTTCTCTTTTAAGAGTTTATAATCACCCTGGAGGTTGGACTTTCTCCACTTTCTCTCTGCTCTCCGGCACTCTTGCTTCTGTGCCCTGACCGGGCCTGCTTTTATCCATGGGGCTTTTTGCTTATTTGTGACCATTTTTACCTTCACAGGGGCAATGGCGTCCAGAACATTCAACACACTAGAGGTGACAGAGTTAAACAGTTCATCTACAGTAGAACATGATGTGTTCTCAAAATGGATCATTCCCATAAATAGTTCACCCGTGTTTTCATTTAAGTGTCTACTTCTAACAATTTCATATTTAGCGGGTGGTCTGGTAGCAAAACACATGTTAAAAAATACACAGAAATGATCCGACAGAGCAACATCAACTACATTAACTTTTGAAATATTCACCCCTTTCGTGATAAGCAGGTCCAGGGTGTGTCCTCTGCTATGGGTGGGGCCACTCACATGCTGAGTGAGGCCAAAGGATTCAAGTATGGAACTCAGCTCTTTTGCGTATCTGTCATTAACATTATCCACATGAATATTAAAATCGCCTATAATGACTAAACCATCAAAATCTGTGCACACAACTGAAAGCAACTCAGTGAAATGATCAGTGAAACTATGGCATGACTGTGGCGGCTTGTACACAACAATAATAAGAATGGAAGAAGATTTATTTTGTTCTATTTTAAAAGAAACATACTCAAATGATGAAAATTTCCCAAGAGACACTCTATGGGAGACAATACGATCTTTAAAAACTGCTGCTATGCTCCCCCCCATTTTATTTTCTCGTGTTTCATATTCAAATTTGAAATTTGGTGGTGAGGCTTCTATTAAAACTGCATCTCCTGTATTATGGTCAAGCCATGTTTCAGTCATAAACATAAAATCAAGATCATACGAACAGATAAAATTATTAATTAAAAATGATTTGTTGCACAGTGATCTGACATTAAGTAGAGCAAGGTTAAAATTAATATCAGTGTCAGTGGGTTTAGTTGATTGATTACAAAGAACTGGAATTAGATTTCCAGAGTTGGACCGTCTAACTGCTGTCCTTCTTTTAAATTTGTGTTTATTCAGGTTAAAACACATTTCTGAGCTGGTGCGAGGAACACATACAATACAATACCGTATTTTTGTGGCGTAACTGGCACATGAACCCACAAACTCTAAAAAGGACCCAAATACGGTAAAATTTTAAATATTTTGTCACTCTCAAGAAAACAACTGATATCCAAGGTCCTTTTACTAAACAAGAATTTAGCTTTTTTACAATAATATTCTTACTCTGTTTGTCTTCCACTTTGACTGAAGCTTCTGCAGCGGACGAACTTGGACCAGAACTGGACCCCTGACGAATACATGAAAAGACAACATGTCGGTGTAAAGATTAAAGGAGACCTAACGCGATAAACCATTGTGCAAAAGGGCAGAGTGCAGAGCGATACAGAGAGAAGTCCCCTATTAGATCAACTTTGAAATCTCAATTGTAAATATATAGTTGTCACTGATGATCATAAATAGCAGTTTGATCGTCTTTAAGGTTTGTTTAAAGGAATTTGCGGTTTACCGTCAGTGTTCCATTGGAGATAAGCAGATTTCCCAAAAAACTAGAGGTGGGATCGTCTGCAGGTGGCATGGTGTGTGTTGCCGTTGGTTGGGTTTGGAAAGGTCCGGGAATTTGCGTTGACAATTGGAACATCTGGAGAAAACATAAGAATTCAAAAGCATGTGATATACGAGGACATCTCCAAATGTAAAATCGTCCGTCATTTCAAAGAGAGAACCTGTCATTTTGAGTTATTGCATTCAAGCTTTAACGTCATGTCATTTTGATGATGGTCAGCAGATAATGAAACGATTCTGTGGGAATATCTTATACATTTTTTCAACTAAAACGACTCCTGAAAAGTGCACTGTTCTTTCAGTACTGTACTTAGCTGAGCGTACTTTAACAAACATTTGTCATTCTTTCTCGTCTTCCGATCAGTTTCAAGCACATTGTTTAGAATGTTTGGTTTCATCAAAATATAATGATAAATGAAAACTAAATTAGTAGTGTCTTGATGGTCTTCATGAAATTGTTGACGTCATACAGTATTGTGTGAGACAAGTTGCAGTGAATATTGAACATACATCGTACCTGTGGACCTGCTGAGCCACTGAACGCCGCCTGAGTTTGGTTGTTGTTGCCGACATGGCTGGTACTTGTTAGAGTTGTGCTAAAACCTGAAAACATTTAATCAGAGCGTTATTCTTGAATCTTGATATAAGTAAAAGGCCAAAGCCGTACTTCATAAGACAAACAAAAGCAGTGCGGCCACTAAGGGCGTTAAAGAGGCAAGCTAAAGGATCATCAAATCTAACTTTTGTTTAACAAACATCAAACTGCATGTTTTTTATTTCCACAGTACTATGATAAGATCACAAAGAAAACATTAGTCATTCCCTGTTTTCAGAAACTCCGGAATAATGAGTTCAATATTTCCAGCGCATTAAAGTGTCTAAGATCGGTCAAACAAATGAGTTTGCAAATCAACCCGCCCACTTGAGAAAAAAAAAAACTAGCCACGCAAACAGCACAAGGTCATGATCCCTACAGTCAGAGCTGCAACAAGGCTCATAATGTTTGTTAGCTTTAACTTTTAATGTTTTAGAGCTCGTGAGTGTGGCACGGTGGGTGAGTGGATAGCACTCCCGCCTCTCAGTGAAAAGGTCTGGGTTCAAATCCCAGTCGAGATGGGGGATTTTTGAGTGGAGTTTGCATGTTCTACCCATGTCTGCGTAGGTTACCTCCGGGTGCTCCGGTTTCCCCTACCACTAAAAACATTCACAATAGGTATGAGAGTAAATGGATGGTGTTGATTGGGGCTGATGGTCCAGTGTGTTTGGCGACTCACTTCCGTCATCACCGTGTGTGGAATGATTGGATCAATATCTGAACTCTGAACATTGTAAAGTGCTTTGGGTGACCTTGGTCTGTAAAATGCATTAAACATAAGTAAGTAATGTAAGTAATGTAATAAACATTACTTACTACTTACTTACTAGTGGGAATGCGCATGTGTTGTTTCATTGATGATAACAAATAACAATAATACATTAGTTTTATAAAACATAAGATCTGGTACCTGGTGTGGCTTCTCCTCTGTCCATCACATCAGCAGGAGTATCAGGCCTTCCCTGGAAAGAAAAACCATGTGAGCTCATTTAACATCTACGACTATTTTCAGACGAGTTTACAAAGGATTTATTGTTTTGGAAAGTTTAATGGATAGTAACACAAAATCAAAGTTACAGAGTGGATCTCTGAACATACCTGCTGTGAACGCCATGGCCAATCAAAAACTGCTGGTTTTTGGTTACCAAAATTGCTGAAACTTGGCAGAGTTGTTCCAAGTCCTGAGAATACTGATTAAAAGAGTGAATACATGGAATTAATGATGTGTTCACCAAAGTTCATCTAAATGGAAAGAATTTGTAAAACACATTCTAAATCAGAGGAGATTTGAGAAGCAGTCATTTTGGAGGTTTCACATTTCCACAAACGCAGTCTCTGGTTCAATCTGGTTTATTGGGACTGAAGAGTGAATGCACCCAAAGTAAAATTGGGGGATGACTCTCCAATGCAAGTTACTTTATATATTATTTCATGTTTTAGGACTTGAAATGATGTCTTTGTGTAGGAATTAATTAGTTTAGAAATGGGGAAAACCCCATCTACTGGTGTCAATGGGAACTACAAGCCCAATGCAATTCCTTTATATACTAATTTTACATTCCGTGAACACAGTTTGACAGCGATAGTGCTAAGACATTTGGACATGATGCATAAAGAAGACAATTTTCATGAAATGTTGGAGAAGCTTTGTCATAATATGTTATTTAGATAAAACATAATTTTACTTACATGTCGTGGTTTCATCCTTCACGGCAGAAGTAACAGCACTGTGGAAGCTTTGAGTCTGATTGGGGAAAAAAAACAAAAAAACCTACATCTATAATCTGACAAGTTTACAATAGAGCTTGTCTAAGACAAGTCAAGTTTATTCACATAGCACATTTATACATTTCATTAACAGGGCAAAGTGCTTTGCAGCCAGTGACTCAAAAGCATGTTATATTCTTGTTAGTATATCTCCTAATTTAAAATTGTGATTATGGAGAGAGAACCTGTTTTTTTTGAGTTATTATATTCAAGCTTTTATGCCATTTTAATGATGGCCAACAGATAATGCAAAGATTCTGTGTGAATATCATATATATATATATATTTTAATAACTCAAACGACTCTTGAAAAGTGCACTGTTCTTTCAGAAACATTTGACATTGCTTTCTCATCTTCCGATTAATTTCAAAAATGTTTGGTTCCATGAAAATATAATGATAAATGAAAACTAAATTAGAAGTGTCTTGATGGTCTTCATGAAATTGTTGACGTCATATTGTGTGAGACAAGTTGCAGTGAATATTGAACATACATCGTACCTGTGGACCTGCTGAGCCACTGAACGCCGCCTGAGTTTGGTTGTTGTTGCCGACATGGCTGGTACTTGTTAGAGTTGTGCTGAAACCTGAAAACATTTAATCAGAGCGTTATTCTTGAATCTTGATATAAGTAAAAGGCTAAAGCCGTACTTCATAAGACAAACAAAAGCAGTGCAGCCACTAAGGGCATTAAAGAGGCAAGCTAAAGGATAATCAAATCTAACTTTTGTTTAACAAACATCAAACTGCATGTTTTTTATTTCCAGAGTACTATGATAAGATCACAAAGAAAACATTAGTCATTCCCTGTTTTCAGAAACTCCGGAATAATGAGTTCAATATTTCCAGCGCATTAAAGTGTCTAAGATCGGTCAAACAAATGAGTTTGCAAATCAACCCGCCCACTTAAGAAAAAAAAAAACTAGCCACGCAAACAGCACAAGGTCATGATCCCTACAGTCAGAGCTGCAACAAGGCTCATAATGTTTGTTAGCTTTAAATTTTAATGTTTTAGAACTTGTTAGTGGGGATGCGCATGTGTTGTTTCATTAATAATAATAAATAACAATAATAAATTGTTTTTATAAAACATAAGATCCCGTAACCTGGTTTGGTTTCCTTTCCGTCCATCACATCAGCAGGAGTATCAGGCCTTCCCTGGAAGCTTTGAGTCTGATTTGGGGAAAGAAAAAACCATGTGAGCTCATTTAACATCTACACCTATTTTCAGACAAGTTTACAAAGGATTCATTGTTTTGGAAAGTTTATTGGAACAGAAACACAGAGTAAAAGTTACAGAGTGGATCTCTGAACATACCTGCTGCGAACACCATGGCCCATCGAAAACTGCTGGTTTTTGGTTACCAAAATTGCTTGTAGTTGTTCCAAGTCTTGAGAATACTGATTAAAAGAGTGAATACATGGAAAGTTCATATAAATAGAAAGAATTAGAGAAATGCATTCTTCATCAGGGGAGATTTGAGAAGCAGTCATTTTGGAGGTTTCACATTTCCACAAACACAGTCTCTGGTTCAATCTGGTTTATTGGGACTGAAGAGTGAATGCACCCAAAGTAAAATTGGGGGATGACTCTCCAATGCAAGTTACTTTATATATTATTTCATGTTTTAGGACTTGAAATGATGTCTTTGTGTAGGAATTAATTAGTTTAGAAATGGGGAAAACCCCATCTACTGGTGTCAATGGGAACTACAAGCCCAATGCAAGTCCTTTATATACTAATTTTACATGTTAATGCCGTGAACATACTGTTAATGCCGTGAACACTGTAGTGTTGACACTGTAGTTTGACAGCGACATTTGGAAATGACGCATAAAAAATACAATGTCTATGAAATGTTGGAAAAGCTTTGTCATAATGTAAATAAAACATAATTTTACTTACATGTCGTGGTTTCATTATTCACGCCAGAAGTAACAGCACTCTGGAAGCTTTGAGTCTGATTGGGGAAAATGAAAAAAAAAAAACCTAAATTTCTATTCTGACAAGTTTACACAAGAGCTTGTCTAAGCGGATAGTTTAATAAGATAAGTCAAGTTTATTTACAAAGCACATTTCATTCACAGGGCAACTCAAAGTGCTTTGCAGCCAGTGACATCTCCATGGGGACAAGCTGATGACCACATCCCTGCTCATAAAAGTTACAGAGTTGATCTTCAAACATACCTGGTGTGAAGGCCGTGACCCACTGAAAGCAGTCGATGTTTGTCCATGCTTCACCACATCAGCAGAAGTAACAGCACTCTGTAACTTTGGTGTCTGAGAGAAAAAAAATAATCTCATGATTTTATGAAGACTTCTATATAGGAGACCACATTCTGCCAAATTCGCAAAAATAGCTTGACTGGGTAGTTTAATGCCGTTTGTGGTACATCCCAGGCAAACCAACCACAACTTGCACTAGGACAATTTGCAGCCGAGTTCTCTCCACTTGAGATATTTTTTCAAGTGGAGAAGTAATCTTTTTAGGTCTTGTTGAGGGAAGGATGGAGCATGGACTTTGGACGGATCTGTCCAAAGTCTGCAGTGGTTGTGGTCAAGAGGGAGCTAAGTCCAGAGGCATATGTTCTAGATCCCTACTGAACACCTCTCCTGTCTTGCGTTTGGTTGGCCTGGGAATGTTTCAGGATTCCCCCCGGCTGAGCCAATGTAAAAGGCCGTAAAAAGCGTTCGCCAAGAAGGTTGGAGACAACTTGGGCCTGCACTATACTGTTATGGTATGATATGGAGGTACGTTATCCGATTACCACTGGGCTTTCTGGTGCCCCAAAATATTCCCTTCCGCGCTCTTCTGGTATTCCCCAAACTGCTACATCACCTCTCCGCTAAGTCCACCTCTCTTTCTGATTGTCTACATGTCGCAGTCAAAAAGCTCACAGTGTTTTCACCTCATGACAACGAGACATCGGGCCAAGACAATCCAACAAGTTGAATATCCTCAATTTGAGATAAAAAAAAGGATTCCTGTGGTTCTTCCAAGCTTTCGAGAGCAGTATTAACACATCACACAAGGCAGGATTATTTCATTATGATTGGGTGTCCTTAAAAGGGTTATAATCTGCTTTATTAACCTGCTGTGTGAACCAGCCTTTAGTATACATGGAAAGGGAAGCCTGAGACATTGCATCACCAGATAAAGTCGTCAAAGATGGAATGAGAACAGTCCCATTTTCAAGGAGCTGGACGCAGATAAAAACCTAAACCAAGTATTACATCTTAAACCATGACCCATTGTACCTGCTGTGTTGACAGACTGAAAACTGTCTGCGGTTGGGTGCTGGTGCAAAAACCGCTGACAATGGGTTGACTTGTCGTAGGATGAGTTGTCGCAATACCTGTGGATAAATAAATCTGTCCTGAAACTATCCTGACTATGTGTGTCTGAATGTACTGTAGCAGGCCATTATCTTATCTTATTAGGTTTTAAACATATAACACTTACTGGCGCTGTTCTCTCTTTCAGTCCTCACTACATCAGCCAGAGCAGGACTTCTGTGAGATTTCTGGGTCTGACATGAAAGACATTAAATGATAATTATTAGTTTGTGGGCTCAAAAAGAAGCCTATAAGTGACATTCCAACAAGCCTTAAACCTTACTTAATGACTAAATTAAGACCTAAATCCACACAATAGGCGCCAAAGTATAATAACTACAATAACTAGACAAGCTCTTTTTTATACAGATATCGTCTCACATATTGTTCTTGTATTTATTTATCTACCTCTGATAACATCTCTGGGCTCAGCCTTCTATCTGTTTCAAGTTCTTGAAAAACTGGCACATAATGGGTTAACCTGAAGTGACTGTTTGTGTTGTAGTTTTTACCTGTTGGGTTCTAATCATCGAGTCCAGAGCACTGTGAGTTTTTATGTTTTGGTCAGACAACTGCAGTGGTCGTTGAGAAGAGCCAAAGACTATAAAAGTAATAATAATTCAATTAGCTGCCGTGTCACTTCAAGTAAAAACATCAGAAAATATTCACTGGTTTACATTGAGCAAAACTCTCAAGCTGCAATGTAAATTCATAAGAAAATGTGTTATCTTTTGCACATTTGTAAGTAGTATGATACTTTTTGAAGAAATTCCTGGAGGCAATACTTTTCTGTTTTTGAATAGCGAGTTTGAAAACAATGCATATAGACAGAAGTGCTGGGGGCCATAACTGCTCTGATTTGGGTCAGAAGTATCTCATGTTATCCTTAATGGAGGGAACAATGTTGTAAAATGGTTTAAAGGTAAGAAAAATACTGGGATTACCTGATTGTGTTTGTGTTTTTGGCTTGTTTTCCTTTGCTCTTTCAGTCTCTGTATCATTTGAAGTTGGTCCAAACGTCTGACAGAACAATATGAAAACAGAAAATAATTAACAGCACTTTAACAGCTATTTCTCTCTTTAATAATTGTATTACTTACCTTTTCCTGACTGAACCCTGTGCTTGCTGCTGGAAGAGCAAACCTTTGAATATTGCCTGTTGCTGCAATGTAAAAACATACAGTGTGTTTTCAAGCTTTAGTATGATTATAACTCAACTGTCACAGAATTTTGTGCTCTGGAAACATTTAGAATTGGGAGTTTTTTAGGCTTTGATTTAATTCTCTTGTAGATAATTTCTATATATATATGTATACTGTAATTGGACACAATCAGCGTTGTATTTAGCTGTGTCACCAAATAAATTAAGATTAGTTTATTTTAGTTTATTGTTTATACAACAGGATCGCTGCAGGCAAACACACAAAGATATACACGTCATTATTTAGAATTATATTGATTTTGGATCTCTTGCCCAATATCCAAAGTCAATGCCAATGTCAAGTGTACAGCACCTTGCAGGAGAAAAAATAAGAGTGCACTTTTAAGGATGATTCTGTACTTACGAAACACTTGGTTAGAAGCAAGTGGGCTCAAGACGCCTGGAAACTGCTCATTCTAGAAAAGAATGGGTATCATAGTATTTAACTAGCAGGAAGAAGCAATGGATTTTCTTTAATCTTTTGAATTACCTGGATCTCTGTGACTGTTGCAGTATCCAGCATTTGTCCTGGAAGATCCATTTGTCTCCAAACCCCTGAAAAACAGAAAAGGTTTGTTGAGTATTTGATCGTAGTCTCATTAGCATATACAAGATTTCATGTTTTGATACAATAATTACTCTGATGATGAACTGATGTCAATTTTCAACACAATTAAATAGTATGGTTAAAAATAATTCTGAGATAAAATATTTGGAGTTTAGACAGGCCGTGAGCCATAATTCTCCACAACGTACCTAAAAAAGCTTGATATATCTTACTTTGCGTGTAATGAGTCTGTCGATTATCATGATGAACAACATGCAAAACCCCAGAGCTCAATGAAGTTCTCCAAAGGGAAGTTCTCATGCACAAAGTTCTGGCTCCTATTGACTTACATTGAAAAATAAACTCCTCTAGCTCAGTAATCGTTTCTTTCACATTCACATTTTCGGCTTTGTAAATCCAGATATAAGCCATGATGCAACAATTGACCAATCAGAGGCTTTCATTCGCAGGGAGAAACTCAACTTGCCTTAGCAACCATCTTAGCAACATCTGCCCCTCCCTGTTACGGTGTGAAGCTTGTGACGACGGAACAAATGCCCATATAAGGAAATGGGCTGAATTGAATTCTTATTACTATCACTACTTTTTGTTTGGGTTTTATTTGCGTTAATTTAGAACTACTATTTCAAATGTATTTTTCTACTCACTCATGATGTCTTCTGTAATCTGCTGATCAAGAGGCAGTGTGTAGGTGAATTTGGGCAGGAAGGTGTTGAAGATGACTTGCTGTGTGCGTTCTGGAATGGTGGTTCCTTTCGGGGTGCATCCCATCTTCCCCTGGTGAGTCCTCAAGCCCTGGTACGTCGTCATTTTGGACCAACCACAACAGTTGCACATCTGAAAACTCTTCTTATCCGCCATTTTTACCACCTACACAACCATAAGTTACGTTATCAAAATTGTATGTTTTGTAAAGAAAAATGTATTGCGTTTCCAAAGGTTATAGCTCTAATAAAGCAGTATCTGTGTCAATTTACCAGTCATTGTCACTCAGGTCATCCAGAGGCTACTCAATCTATGCTGCTCTGACCTGACCCGTCCTGCTCCACCCAGAGGCTACTCCACCTCTGCTGCTGTGACCTGAAGGGCTGTTGCTGATTATTAATATTATTATGTTTTTAGAATGATCAATTTTATTTTTATTTTTGCTGCTACTGGACACCTGAATTTCTCCTACGGGGATCAATAAAGTATCTATCTATCTATCATGTTGTGAACTACTTTTTGACTGATGTGATTGCTGAAGGAGCTGGGCCCTGAGCACTGGCACAAAAGGATTATTCTGTATATTAGCAGTGGTAACTATACAGTCCTCCTCTGATTAATGCTCCACCAACATACTACATTGGCTCACTGCTTGATTGAATAGCTTGAATGAGAACATAAATGTAAATGTACATTTCTCCAGTGTGATATCTATAAAGTCTATCTTATCTTATAATAGAGTGAGCTTACCGGTGTACTGTCCGCGTTCTGTGCGTCTGTGAGAGTGAGAGCTCTTTAATATCACTCACTGGTAACTTTCAGTTTCATTTTAGAAAAAATGAAACTAGGCAGAGCAGGATGTTGTTGACACAACAGTATACACTCTCACAACGGAAAATGGTACTGTGGCATAAGGGCTACATTAATGTGGATGCATTTAACACATTATTATTTTGTTAAAGCCCAGGCCCGTCCCAGCAGGCAGCCTGTGATCATACTCCCCACACAATCTCTCTCTCAGTTATGGAGTTTAATGTACAAATGCAACCTTTAGGGTACATTTCCTCAATGAGGTCTGTAAATTAGTAGAAATATTTGATTTGAAAACTATTTGAGATTAACTTAGATTTTATAATATTAAAAGAGTTATGTCAAAAAGATAATATCTCCAGTAAAACAGGAAAGTCAAGTGTGTCTGAGGGTTTTGTGAAGTGTGGGGTGAGGTGCTCATCCGGACCAAAATTATCAAAATAATTAAATGATAATAATAAAAAGAAGATTTGAGGCTCTCCAACTTACTTTATTGAAATGTATTAATTACAGGTGACATTATGTGTGTTTCAGCCACATGGGGACTTCTTCAGAGCATGTACTGAAAAGGTTAAAACACACAAGTTAAATAGGACGGCTGAATGTAGTCCTTAAAAGAAATAAAGCCTGTTCATTGGAGTAAGTTCCACTTCCATAAAGAGGAAGCTTTAAAGTTTGTGAGCTGCAAAGCAAATTAATCAATGTTAGTACTACTTGAATCAAAATATGTGTTACACTTTCCACTCAGAGTCTAAAAGTTACAATGGTTTTTTAAAATACTGAATTCATGGGGTATATTTATCATAGGTTTGGCAAAAGTATTGATTGATTTTTCACTTAAATAATGTTGTTTATCATTTATTTCTTGATATTTGCTTTGCTCATTCACACAGTGGAAGAAATTAAACTTTATCAAAAATAATGTGTACATTTTAGACATACACATGAGAATACATTTCCATCGCTGATTTGTTCTGTGAAAACTATTTGGCTCTATTCTTCACTTTCATTTCATAATAATCTCACTTCTCTTTTTGACAGTATATGCAAATACTGAGGGCAGTTCTAGTATCCTGTTACTGGGAGTGGCACCAGGCTGCAGATCCAGAGAAAAACCAGTTTGCATAATGAAGTTTAAATAGTGTGGGAAAAACAGGCGTGAATATATTTTATTTTGCAATTATTATCAAATTATTTAAAGAAAAAAATTAAACACCAAAAATATTTAGTACAATAATATGGTGACAGCAACACAATTATTATTATTAGTGATACTAATATTATGCATTACTTCTAGACATACTACATTCTAGACTGTGTATAAAATATATGGATAGAGATGAAACATTGAATAGAATTTAACATTTTACCTGGAAAATTCACAAAACTAGCTTAGAAGCAGAAGTCATAAAACAGCTCTGTCCGCACGTCTGTCCAGAATTCACTGTAGTATACAAATTATGAAAGGAAGAAAAGGAGGGATGTGTTTGTGGTCCCTGATATCAGAATGAATGAAGCCACAAACAGATGCAGGTAAACATGTCAATAAGTAATCTTTATTTACCTTCCTTATTAACATTTAAAGTAACCCTCCTGCTTACATGTAAATAGTAAACCAAAAACCCCAAACTTCAAACATAGGCCCATGCTTCCTCTGGGCACAATTGATTAACATACAAACCCCCCTGTAGGATTTCTGGAGCCACATATCATGAAATAAAATGATAACTTAAAAAAAACATTCAAATGACTCACAAACCAGAGACAGGTAGAAACATGTGAATGCCACAAAGATGCAGGTTGGCAGAGAATGGAACGCCCAACCTTCCTTCTGTGAGGCCTGAGCATTACAGATAATTTCAACTGAAACATGATTTAATATTAGTTTATAAGTGGAATTACACTAGCAATTTAGCAGTGCATCAGTAATCATACCTCTGCAGCAAGAACTTCAATGTCTCCACTTTGTCCAAATAAACCTTCCCCATGGATGATTTAATTTAGAGATCTGGGAGTGAAGGGCTCAGAGAAGATATTTAGTTGCTGTTGGTGAGTGTGTGATGTTAGAGAACAGCTACTTATAATTCCTTAAACATTTTGAAAGTTTTCCTGCTTTGTGCAAAAACATCAGCAGCATCACCAGACTAAGCAAGGCAAATGTATTTACATAGCAACATTCATACACAAAGTACCTTAAAATGCATTACAAAAAAGATAGAAACAATCATACAAGGCATTCAAAACATTAACAATCACAATACATTCAAAGGAGTGAAGATACAATCCTTCAGTTTTATACACAGCTAAACAGAAATGTTTTTAACCTGGATTTTAATGGTGTCAGATGCCTGTCTATAAGACTGCTCCAGCTGCATACATCTGAAATGCTGCCTCTCTTTGTTTAGTCCCGACTCTGGACACCAGCAGGAGGCTAGTCCCTGTTGTCCAAGTTGGTTCATGTGGCTCTAACATGTCACTGACGTACTTTGGTGCAAGGCCATAGAGAGACTTGTACACAAGCAGAGCTGCTTTAAGTCTATTACAAGAAGCCAAAGCAGAGACCTGAGAACTGGACTACTGGAGAGTTAAGTTGAAGAAAGTGGTTTTGCATCCACTCACTGATCTGTTGGATACAGTGAAGGAGTGAGTCCACTGGTCCATGTTCTCCTGCAGTCAGTGAGACATAGATCTGAGAGTCGTCTGCATAGTTGTAACAGGACATGTTGTTACTGTGTATTAAAGCTGCACTAACTGACTTTGGGATTTCGAAGCAGCGGTTTCGCTGGCCTCGCTCTTTTTCCTCCCCTCCCGGCACCCACGAAGCTATCGCCCCCCACTACCCCACACCCACTGTTGTTTACAGGGCTAGCGTCTTATGGATAGATCCATGTATGGATTGCACATTTGAACGTGGATGGCGTGACCATAGAATGATTGAACCAGGAAACGCAGAGGAACGAGACATTCTTTTGGATGGATGGATGTGTAAGCAGAAACCGGTAACGGGGAGTTTCAGGTTAGCCTCCGCCGCTTGTTGTGCTACCTCAGCTGTCTGTGCTAACCACAGACCTGTAGCTTTTCTCAAGAAAGTGGGGGCCAGTGGTCCGCTGTGATTGGTCACAATCGGGACCCGAAACACATTCTCTTCCTTGTTGCTCAAAAACTCGATCTAAAAAAAAATGACACGCCAGCACAAATCTGTGCTACTTTTTCTTCAAAGGGACTTATGTTCCAAGGCATTGCATGGATATGGATTGCATTTTCGTAATGAATCCAAAAATAAAGTCAGTTAGTGCAGCTTTAACTAACTTGACAGCAGTGTGGAGAGATTGAACAGAAGAGGTCCCAGGATTGACCCTTGTGGTACAAAGGTTTGGGCCATATATTCTTTATTACTCTGTATTCTTATGCTTTGTGAACATAGTTACAGTGCTTTACCCAAAGATAATTGACATGTTAGGAGTAATCATGTTTTAAACAATATTTTTTATAATATGACTAGACTCTAAATTTCAAGTTTAGAAAATATAATCAAATCAGTTACAACCAGGGTTGTTTAAATGATCCCATATTTATAAAAGTACACTGCAACTATACCTGACCCAAGAACCCATCAAAATAACAAATCAAAATACAGAATAAAAGGTAAAAACATGACGTGTGCATTATGTGTCCACAGTGGGTAGATTAAAGGGCCCATATTACGCTTTTTGACTTTTCTCTGCTTTAAACATGATGACAGTGCTATTTGGCCTTCATACACATGCCCAAAAAGCTAAAAACAAGAGCAAAGGCTGCTCAAATATTTACAAGAGCAGAACTGAGATGCTTTCTTCAGTTTTCCCACTTTTTGGAGAAACAGAAGCGGCAAAACCAGACTACTAGGGAACGAAAAGAAACCTGTGGACATTGTCAACAGGCAAGAATCATTGGAACTTAATAAACGCATCAGATATAAGATATCCATCACAATCAGGAAAATAAACCTCAAGAATAGCACTGACGCTATGGTCATAATGGTTGAGAAGGCCCTGCGTTTCAATTGGTCGATACGTCGAAAGTCCCCGCCATCTTTCCCCGGTCCGGGACGAATCAGAATGTTCAGAACAGAAATGCAGCAGAAGGCGACGACTGAGACGGTGGAACAGGCAGAAATAAAAATACTCATCAATGAGTATTCAACATCAGTGTATGTCAGTAATATGATGGCGGCGCTCAGCAACCAAACCACTACAATGCTTGTGTTTCTGATTATAACCCCGCCCCTCTCCTTCAGACGCAGGTACGTGATTGGGTGAGCCACGGCCAGGTAGCGCTCCACGCAGGTGAGAGTGTGAATGAACATTTGTCCGACGATACCAATATTGTAACAGTTTGATCCGATCAATTGCACGACTATCTTTCTATTTGATTCACCGATCAAATAGAAAACTGTACCCAGCATGGTGATGATGTCCATGGCGATGATGTGGAAGGTGAAAAAGTCTGAGTGACTGGGATTCTTCTGAACGGAGCAGAGGTAGAGAACGTAGAGAAACAGCGGCAGAAGCAGTATGTACAACACAAGCCAAGTGGTCACCATGGTCAAGACAGACGGGTACGCACATATGGTCACTGCGTCCGCTGCAGGGTCTAAGGACGAGTTTGAGGAGCTCTGCATTCTGCTGCGTGTGTTTAAAAAGCAATATCTAATGATAATATAAACTGGGGAAAACACACTTTCAGTAGCCTTAAAACAATATGTATTCAATATGTACTCCAGGTTTATTTTAAACTTGTTTGTGATTTATTAGGCTTGGCTTGACATTTTTTAGTTCAGAGGCAGGGAATGCGGTAGCAGCAAGTCACTGCATTCATGATTAAAATAAAAACATAGCCCTTTCTGGAATCAGTTGTTGATCTTTTAAAACTGCAGTCACAACAGATCTGCTCTTTAACTTGAAAAGCCTATTCAGCCTATTTTTATACAAGAACTGCTCATTGTGCTAAACAAGAGGCACACTGTATATAAACTCATATATATAATCATAAGACTTCATTCAAATCTATTTTATATTTATAAAGTTAATTAATCATTCAATGGAGAGGTAACTGCAGAAAATTAGAATGCATAATTTACCTTTTTAGCACCTTTGAGAACCCAGACCAGCTACATTCACAGTAAGACTACATAACGACCCTTGGGACTGGTTATATCTGTACTTGTGCACTCACACAGTCTCGAGGCATTGATGTTCCGTTCCAATGAGGAAAGAAAGAGACCAGTGTGTTGTCGTATCACGGCGTGAGTCATTAGGAAAATACATGATTGAGTGGCTAAAAGTTGCAAATCCTCCGGCCACCTCTTTATTAAAATGAATCATATAAATCAGAAGCCAAAACCCAACAAAAGGAGAATATATTTTGATGTTGACACATAAAAAAACACAATTTGGATCTTTATATTTAAATAGGTTTATTTGACTAAAAAGAATATAATTGCCTTTTTTTATCTTCAGTCATACAGGTGAAACTTGTGAAACCAATAAGACATTCACCAATTGAATGAGTGAATTTTCTAAATATTGTAATTTTCTAAGATGTTTATTTGTTTTTAGGGACATCTGGGAGCTGTCCCTTGGAGGGGGGTACTGTCATGGTGTGGATTTGGATTTTGTATTTTGCTTTTATTTTGAAATAAGTTCTGTGGTTTTGTTTCAGTTTGACTTCCAGTCCTGTTTTCCCCTGTCTTGATTGTCTGCCCCGCCCTGATGTGTTTCACCTGTGTCTGTGTCTATATGTACCCTTTGCTTCTCTCCCCTTGTTGCTGCTTCATTGTTTTGTCATGTTCTGTCCTGGTTACTTTGGATTTCTGGAGTTTGTTTTTTGCCTTGGACTTTGTTTTATTAAAAGCTTTATTTTGGCACTCCTGCATTTGAGTCCTCACTCAGTTCACCCCGTGACAGTCTGGTTCTATCATGAAATGGAAGCAGGAGCAAGAGGAATTTTAGCAAATGTAATCGCTGGTCAAGATTGTGGCGCTACTCCCTACGGGCTCCGTTAGCGGCAAAGGAGACGGCTAGGCTAAAGCCGTCAACAGACTCGGGCGCATTACATACGTCACGGTAAACTCAGATCCAATTGTTTCAATCTGCAAAAGGAGTTAACCCCTCCCACCTGTTCACGGAGCTCAATGGAGCAAATCCAGACCTTAGTATGAAATGTAATTTGTACTAAGGTGTGGTACAACCAGGCTAGGTCTGAGCCATAGCGGTTGGATTTCAGAAGGCGGGGCCTTGTAAAAAAATCCTTGTATGTGATTGGATAAATCCACCCAACCTAGCGACCCTGCTGTGCAGTGTTGTAAACAGGAACACTTAAACCAGTACTTAAACCAAACTTTACAGGAACATTTGACTCTTAAAACACACATATAGCAACATGGAACCATCAACATCTCGCCTCATATTGCATGAAAAGTGACATCCGTCTCTTAATTAGTTCGTATTTCAACTTTTTTAAAGATTAACTGACTTCATGTCCGCCTTTTTGGATTGCTTTTGCTGCCGCGTGAGACATGCTTGAGAAGGCGGAGCAAACCTGACGTAACACCGGCTATAGCGAACTGTCTAAATGACGTCACAAAGACACGCCCCCGCCGCCTGTCAACTCCCGCCCACATGTTTCGGACAAATACTGCCAAAATGAATCAAATACCACTTGTCACTTTAGACAAAAATGATTTACCAGGAGCAAAATTCCACCATCAAACCATCAGGGATCATAGTGTAGACCAATTAAAACGTTGGCTTGAATGTCGTGGTCTGTAACTGGTAGAAAGTTTGAATTGATAAAAAGGTAATGGTGAGAGGGAGCGGAAGTGGAGCGCGCAGCATGTAAGACGTATCTACAGACGCTCCGCTGGAATGTGATTCTAAATGTATTTTGACACCTTAATTTAAACTTTTTTTTGGACACCACTTGTTGCTGATAACAATTACTGTCATTCGACTCTTGAATCAGCAGTGAACCTTCAGACAATCATGTACACCAGAGCAAAGACCGATGCAGCTAAGGTGGGCCCCACGCAGCCTGAGAGCTCGCCTGAGCCTGGAGCCGTTTCCGAGCAGGATGCTAATAATGCTAACGAGCGGCTGCTAATACGCATGGAGGTGATGATGGAGACTATGCGCACGGACATTGTAAGTCAGTTTGAACAGATTGTATCTGGGGCAATAAGAAAGGAAATCTCTGCTGTTTGTGAGCCCTTGCAAAGAAAGATTATTGCGCACGATCAAACCATTGCTAACCTCGAGGATACTGCTACTGACCACGATGCTCAGCTAACTAGCCTAAATGCTACGGTAGCGTCGCTGACTGAGCGTGTTGGTTCCCTGACGCAGAAGTGTGAGGATTTGGAAGGAAGGTCGAGATTGAATAATATTCGCGTGGTGGGTGTCCCGGAAGGCTCCGAGGACTCCCGTCCAACTGTGTTTGTGGCCAAACTGCTCCAGGGCTTGCTCGGCTTGGACGGGGAACCAGTGCTGGATCGTGCCCACCGTACCCTCCGCCCTAAACCAAAGGACGGGGAGCTTCCTCGCCCGTTTGTTGTGAGAGTGAATATGTTTCAACAACGCTGCGTAATCCTACAAAAAGCTGGATCATCTGGACCCTTATTTCACAAAGGAAAGAGGGTTTCAATCTTCCCGGATTTCACTACCTCTGTGGCCAAGAAGCGAGCTGCTTTTGCCAAAGTCAAGAAGGAGCTTCACTCGTGTCCTGGTGTGAAGTTTGGACTTTTTTATCCAGCGAGACTGCATATTACTCCTCCGAGCGGACAAACTCACAAATTTGAAGACCCGACATTGGCTATGGACTTTGTGCTGAAACGTTTAAAAACTGTGGTGATTCCGGAGTCTGTTTGAAGTTACAGTAGGTAACCTACCGGTTGAAGTAAACATTTTGCTCTGACATTATGACAACATACTATAATTCGAGTGTTCTCATTGTTGTACTGGCATTATTATGTTGCTCTTTGGCAGGTCCACTTACTTGATATGTCCAGCACCATTTCATGCTTACTAATATCTGTATTTGTGTTAGGAGATATTGTTATCCTGACAGGGAATTATAGATTTTTCTTGATTGATAACTTTTTTAATTATTTTACTTTATTTTTATTTTATTTATTTATTTTATTTTATTTTTTTGTGTGATCATTAGCCACCGCATTATTTTGTGTGTAGATTATTGCCTTTCTTATATATTTTTTTTCTTTTTTTTTTTTTATTGCTAATATTTCTTTAGATTGTACTTTAATGGGTCTTATTTGTATTCTTAAATTTTTTGTTATATACTTTATGTATTTTATTTTATTTTTATACCAAGGTGTCAATCTGTTTTTTTTTTTTTTTTTTTTTTTTTTTAACCTAACAAGGTGTGTTCTAATTTTTAAAATTATATTTCACATTCCATTTGGAGGGGTTTATAGTTGAATCTTCCTCCAGGGCCCTTTGCAGGCTAGGTTATGGGTGTTTTGGGGTGGAGTGGGCATCGCGCATCCCGTTTGGGGGGATGCTTCTGCGAGAGTTCTGATGTTTCATGTTTTTGTTTCGTTTTGTTTTGTTTTTGCACGCCAACCTCTCTTTTTGTTTTATATTGTCGACCAATTGTCCAAGTTAGCCCTCATACAACCCTACTGTTTAAATCTAAGATGCTATGCTGTCTTCAATAGGACAGGACCTCCGGTTCACAAGCTTTAATTGCAAGGGACTTAATAACCCCATTAAACGCAGTAAAGTGCTTCATCATCTTCAGCAACTTGGAGCTCGGGTTACTTTCTTGCAAGAAACTCATCTTCGGAATGTAGATCATCTGAAATTGAAGAGGAGCTGGGTGGGTCAGATATTTCATTCCTCTTTTTCTGGTAAGGCCAGGGGCACGGCTATTCTCTTACATAAATCTGTTCCCTTTGTTTCAGACCAGGTTATTTCTGATGTTAATGGTAGGTACGTTATTGTCACTGGGACAATTTTGGGCTGTCGTATTGCATTAGTTAATATTTACGCGCCAAACACCGACGACGAATCCTTCTTTAAGCGTTTATTCCACTCTATACCGGATATGTCTACGCATTATCTGATATTGGGTGGAGACTTTAACTGTTGGCTCGATCCTAATTTAGACCGCTCCTCGGCAAAACCAGCTGTCGTTTCACGTTCGGCAAAAGTGATCCGGTCCTTTATGGACGAATTCTCTGTAACTGACTCATGGCGTTTTTTAAATCCTTCAAAAAGAGAATATTCTTTTTTTTCATCCGTGCATCGTACATTTACTCGCATTGATTTATTTCTGGTTGATAATCGATTACTTTTATCTATAACTTCATGTCGTTATGATGCCATTGTTCTCTCTGATCATGCACCACTAGTAATGGACGTCAAACTGAGCATGATGTCAACTGAACGTCCACGGTGGCGATTAAATGTGCGCTTATTGTCGGACAATAATTTTGTTATCTTTGTCTCGGAACAAATTGACTTTTTTCTAAGCACCAATAGAACCCCAGGGGTGTCTGCCTCTCTCCTTTGGGAGTCGTTTAAAGCATATATGAGGGGAGAAATTATGTCATATATACACCATGAGAATAAAGTGAGACAAGAAAAGCTACGTAGTTTGAGAGAGCAAATCTCACAACTCGACAATATATATTCACTCTCACCCTCTCCGAATTTGTATAAGGATCGTGTTTCATTACAATCAGAATTTGACACAATTATGACTTACCGTACTACTGAACTTATGCTTCAATCAGGTGCTCGTTTTTTTGAGCATGGTGATAAGGCTGGTAAAATTGCTGGCACACCAAATCCGACAGGTATCTGCCTCTCGCCAAATAACTAAAATCCAAGCAGCTCAGAGTGTAACAGCTGATCCTTCGGAAATGAATGCGACCTTTAAAACATTTTACAACTCACTATATACATCTGAATGCACTCCTACAGATGACGATTTTGAAACTTTTTTCTCAGGTTTAACTATTCCCACGCTCACTCAGAAAACCGCTACTAATTTGGGCAAACCAATTGCTCTCGCTGAACTTAATTCTGCCATACAGTCTCTTCAGGGTGGGAAATGTCCGGGCCCCGATGGCTATCCATCGGAGTTTTATAAAACATTCAAAGATAAAATTGCCCCTTTGCTATTGGACATGTATAATGAATCATTTAATTCCGGAGTTTTACCCCAAACACTTAATCAGGCCACAATCTCAGTTCTTTTGAAGAAGGGAAAGGACCCCCTTAACTGTTCATCTTACCGCCCCATAAGCCTTTTAAATGTAGATTTTAAACTGTTATCCAAGGTTCTGGCTACACGCCTTGAATCTCATTTACCCACTATTTTTAATCCGGACCAAACAGGTTTTATTCGAAATAGACATTCTTTTTCTAATCTTAGGAGACTATTCAATATAATCTATGATACCTCACCAAGCAACTCACAAGAAGCACTCATTTCGTTAGATGCCGAAAAGGCTTTTGATCGCGTGGAATGGCCTCATTTGTTTTATACAGTCAAGAAATTTGGTTTAGGAGACACCTTTTTATCTTGGATCAGACTACTTTACTCCAATCCACTAGCCTCGGTTAGAACTAACACTACTTATTCTGATTACTTCCGCCTTTATCGTTCAACGAGACAAGGATGCCCACTCAGCCCTCTTCTATTTGCATTAGCCATTGAGCCTTTAGCAATTGCATTACGTTCTAACCCCAAAATCACAGGCATACGTAGATACGGTTTGGAGGCAAAGGTGTCCCTATATGCCGATGATTTACTCTTATACATATCAGACATAAATACGTCAATCCCCGCTGCTTTATATCAACTCTCTGACTTTGGCCAGCTGTCAGGTTATAAACTTAATCTAAACAAAAGTGAGATTTTTCCTCTCAATTTAGCTTGTAATGTTTCTTCCCTGCGTCGCTTCCCCTTTAAAGTAACCTGTGACAGTTTTACGTATCTTGGAATTCAGGTCCCTTACCAATCGGAGAACTTGTTTAAAATTAATTTTTCCCCTTTAATGCTGAAGGTAAAAGATGATTTTGAACGATGGTCGTTGCTCAAACTGTCTTTGGTAGCACGCATTAACTGTGTAAAAATGAATATCCTGCCTCGCTTCCTGTATTTGTTCCAGTGTATCCCCCTTTTTCTACCCAGCTCCTTTTTTAGTCAAATTGATACACTCATCTCAGAATTTCTTTGGGATAAGAAGATCTCGAGGTTGTCCAAAAATTATTTACAAAGACCTAAGTTGCTGGGAGGGATGTCTTTGCCTAATTTTAGGTATTATTACTGGGCCACAAACATTAGAACTCTTAAATACTGGCTTCAGTCTGGAACATGACTGGTTAATCATGGAGAGGAACTCTGCTAAACCAGTTTCTCTTGCAGCTTTACTTTATTCACCTATCCAATGTCCGACCATAAAATATGCTAAGAACAAGATCGTTAAAATATCTCTCAAAATTTGGACACAATTCAAACGATATTTTGGCCTGCAACTTTACTCGCATAATGCTCCATTAGCAAATAATCACTTTTTTCCCCCTTCACTTATCGATAAAGCATTTTTAGTTTGGTCCACACATGGTGTACAGTCATTTAAAGATCTTTTTATTGACAATGTTTTTGCTTCCTTCCAGCAGCTTTCGTCTAAATTCTCTATCCCAAAGCAACACTTTTTTAGATATTTGCAGATCCGCAGTTTTGTCCAAAGTAATTTCCCTACATTCCCAAACTTGCCCGAGGATTCTACTTTGGACTTTTTGCTTTTGCCTGCTGCTAATTTGAAAAGATCAATTTCTCTTATATATAATGGGATATTGTTAATACGTTCCGATACTCTTGACTCAATCAAAGCCCTTTGGGAGGGAGATTTGGGGGAGAGCATATCTGATGAAGACTGGTCTCAAATATTAAAGTGGGTTCATAAATCCTCTATATGTGCAAGACATTGTCTTATACAATGTAAACTCCTTCACCGAGTTTATTACACAAAATCTCGGCTATCCAAAATATACCCTAATGTCTCCCCAATGTGTGACAGATGCCAACATTCTCCAGGGAATCTTATTCACACGTTTTGGCTCTGTCCACAACTGGTTACTTATTGGACCGACATTTTTGGCATTATTTCCAAAGTGATTGGCAGGACAATAGACCCAAACCCCTTGAGTGCTTTTTTTGGAATATATAATGGGCCATTTTCCCTCTCCACCTTACATGGCAACTCTCTTGCTTTTATGACCCTTCTGGCCAGAAGGGTAATTTTGCTAAAATGGAAATCTCCGCAACCTCCTTCTGTTACCCACTGGCTTAGGGACGTTTTATATTTTCTTAAGCTGGAAAAAATACGCATGACGATCCACGGCTTCTCTGACAGATTCACTCAGGCCTGGAATCCCTTGTTTAATTTGCTTAAGCAAATGAACTTTCCTTGTGTTCCGAATTAGCTGGTATTACTCTTAGTAGTAATAGTAGCTAGATAGAATAGATAGTAGCTCAGTTGGTAGAGCATTAGCCTTTGGGCCTGAAGGTCGTGGGTTCAAGCCCACCGTAAGACCTACTTCACGACTCCCACTGATGTCTGCTGTCGTTGTGTCCTTGGGCAAGACACTTAACCCCACTTTGCCCAAAGCCCCAACTGAAAGATCTCAGCTCCTGTGGACTCACCACCTGCAGGAGGATCAGTGAGGGGCTGGTGCTATGTGTACTGGGTGCAGCTCTGACTGCCACCCCCCCAACCCAGAAATGGATTAAGGGGAAGAAAATGGATGGATGGATGGATGGATTCTCTTTTTTTCTACATTACCTGTTTTGTTTTATTAAAGTGGGGGCGCCGCACATCTTTACATCCCCCTTT